AAAACATGTTGCACAACTTTTAAACATTATTCTCTAGTTCTTTTTCACTTATCCTTACTTCACTTCCCCCATTTTTAATTTTTCTTGCAACTTTGTCTCTCAACTCCTCACTCAACATTTTATCATTTCATTTATCTCTACCCTACATTGCCTTTTATTTACCTCTATAAATTATAAGTTTTTTTTTTTTATTATTCTTTTTCCTATCATCCTGCCCTCTTTATTGTTCTATTTTAGATCTCAATATATCCTTATAGATCTCTTTTTTATCCCCATTTTGTTCTAATAACCCGGCTTCTCATACTTACCAACTTAATTTCCTCATAGTACTTAATAGGTTGAATTCTTATATATAATATGATGCAAATTAGCCTTGGTTTATTAATATTTGGATGGGTTTAGCATGATTTTTTTTACTCAATTTTATATTATTTTCATTATTTGTGTAGGATAGGACTTAAATTTTAAACTCATAAATTTGGAACAAAATTGCAATGTTTTATAAAGTCAAAGGATTAATAAATTGGTTAGATTGAGGACCAAATTGTAGAATTATGAAATATAAGAACTAAATTACAAAAAATCTAGAAAGTTGAGGACCAACAATGTAGTTTTACATTTAGAATAGAGACATGGACATATTTTAGCTTTAGGGAATCGGCTATTTTTTCTTCTTTTGTTTGTGCATTTATATAATACGATATAAATTCTAACTCTAGTATTTTATAATTGGAAGGGTAGTATACTCCTCTAGTCACTAAACTTAAACATAACTTTCATTTTAATCCTCATTTTTTAAAATTGTAAATTTAGTCACTAAAGTTAGTTTTAAAGTGAAATTGTTGGTCATTAACCATTAACTCCTTTATTCCGTTGAGGTCTTTTATGGCGTGGCACCATGTAGACTCTAGATGGTCTAAGAGAATTACTTTTCAACAAATAAACTTTAAATGCTTTACAATTAAATCCAAAAGGTTAAACACCTATTTTGGTCCCTGAACTATTGTACGGACCCCCGATTTGGTCCTTGAACTAAAGAAATCCCTAATTTGGTCCTTGAACTATTGTAGGACCCTGAGTTGGTTCCTAAACTATTGTACGGACCCTTGAGTTAGTCCCTAAACTATTATACGGATCCCCAATTTAGTCCTTACTGTTTACTGATTTAGCCCCAACTTGGTCCTTCTGTTAAATAATAGCTCAGGGACCAAATTGGGGTGAAATTGTAAATAATAAGGACCAAATTGGGGGTCCATACAATAGTTCAAGGACCAACTTAGGCCAAATTATAAACAGTGGGGACCAAATTGGGGGTCCGTACAATAGTTTAGGGACTAAATCAGGGATTTCTTTAGTTTAAGGACCAAATCGAGGGTCCGTACAATAGTTCAGAGACCAAAATGGGCATTTAACCAATCCAAAATCAAGTCCATCAACAACTAAATTTAGTGAAATGAGCCCTAATATGTGTTAAAATACAATTTATAAAATCAATTTATTAAGTTTTATAATTTAATTCACATCATGACGCTTGCAACTATTTAATCAAGATTACAACCTTTATTTCATTACTTTTGTTTCAATTTGAATGGTTATGGTGTCTTTCAAGGCAGGTTGTATGCAACTAGAGACTAATAAAGTTAAAACTTAAAAGATTAATTTCACGATTAAAATTATGCGGAATCCACTATCCATTTCCGAGGAAAAGAAAATTCATTGGCCCTTTTGCAGCGCATTTAATGGTTATCAAGTAATGTTATAATTATTCAGTTTTTTGTGGCCAAATTATGCATAACATATTTATGCGATTATAATTAATTAAATGTTATATCATATTACAACATAATATATCATTATATTACTTGTTATTATATTACTCGTTATATTGAAAATAATTACTTGTGTGTGTGTGTGTTTTTTTTTTGAACGGCTAAAATAACTACTTGTATAATTATGTCATGTGGCATTTTAAATTTATAACATAATATGTTATTATATAATTGATATTTTTTATTTAGGAGTCCACTTGTAATATTATATATATTCACTAATTTAATAAAAAATCATACTTATTTAATATCATGTTATGAATGTAAATTTACAATTCTATGTGGTGTTGTAATTGCCGTTAGTCTTTTAAATTAATTAATAATGAAATTTAAGATTATCTATCTTGTTTAATTAATATGTTAAGTTTATAATATTAATTTTGATAAATTTTGTATTCTAACCCATGTAGAGCTTATTTGACTAAATTTATAATTATTGAGGGAATTGATTTAGAACTTAATTGAATAGAATTGAAAATTTATTGGTTAAAAGATATTATATTGGACTGCGTGGGTTGTATACAATGCCACGTCATTAAAAAAATTTAATGAAAAAAGGGAGTTAATGCCAATGACTAACTGTTGCACTTTAAAACTAAGTTGAGTGACTAAATTTATAAATTTGAATGACGAGTGATTAGGATGAAAGTTATAGTGAAGTTCAGTGACCACATGTGTACTTTACCCTAATTGGAAATGTAAGTCCAGTACTACTAGAAAACAGAGGATATTCAATAGAATTTTTTTGTCAAATATAGTTATATTTCTGTCAATTATATTTTACTCGATAGACATAATCGACAACCATATATGTCGTATAAACAGGGGTAAAAAATGAATATAATCGACAAAATAGTTTTTTGTCGATTATATCCCTTTAATCGACAGCCAATGGTTGCCAAATGCTATTGATTAAAGTGTTATAATCGATAGCATTTGGTTGTCAAATATGTTTTTTTATTTTTGGAAAATTATATTCGATAGCCATTTGCTGTCGATTATAGCTGTCGATTAAAGAAGTATAATCGGCAACAATAGATTGTCGCATATATTGGGCAAAAAAATAAAAAAAAAATTGAAAATTCAATAAAATCCATAATTACTTTTACGCTATTTTCTATTAATTTTATATAAAAAGTCAATATAATGAACACAATTATCAAGTCCCCCAATAGTATATTTCTGAAACACTTTTAACAATAATATAAAAAGTAATAGATAAACATAAATAAAATTATAATGACCATGAACCTTAATTATTTTGAAATCTATTCCTGTTCCTACCAAAAATAAGAGAAAAAAAAATGTAAATAATAAGAATTCAAAAAGAAAAGAAAATAAAAAGTATCAATCACAAAATTTACTTCATATTACTTCATAATCAATGTATTAAAATCTATAAAAAAAAACTATTAGTATATTAAATAATAAAAATTCAACAAAAAAGAGAGAAGAATGAAAAGAAAAAAGATGATGGATTATCAACAAAGAAGATAATGAATTAGGTATTAATGAATAATAACATAAAATTAAAGATATTTACAAAAATGCAAATATGAGAATATAAAAGATGAAAGAAAAAGGAAAATAAAAAGGAGAAGAAGCTGAAAGAAGAAATAGGATCTTACCTCCAAAAAGGAAAAGGGAAAAGGTAAGAAGATGAAAAATCAAAAGACAATGAGATGTTCTGATGTTGGAGTGGCTTTATATTTAAAACATATTCGGTAGAAATCCTGTTGATTATGGTACATATTTCTGTTGATTATATCTCAAATTTAACTAGTCGAGAAATTCAATTTTTTTGGGTAGTTTGGCAGGTGCATGGTTATAATCGACAACCATATTGTCTGTCGAATATACTTGTAATCGACAGACAATGACTATCGATTATAAGTATAATCGATAGATAATATAGTTGTCGATTATAGTCCGTAGTTTTTTTTTGTTAATTTATTTTTTTATTTTTTAATTCTTATATTTAAATAGATATACTTTCTCTTTAAACTAATTGGCAGTTTGATTTATCTAATTCTCTTTTTTTGTTGAACTATTTTTTGTTCTTTTTTTTTTTTGAATTTCTTTTTTATTTATTCTCTTGTAAAATTTTTGGTTTTAAAACTAATAAGAGTCAATTTTTTGAGCTTGTAATTAATTGTAGAAATTCTAGTTTAGATAAAGATATATATATGCTATTTCTTTGTAAAGTATTATATTGTAATTTTTTCTTTTTACTATAGGATTGTTATTTTTTTTTATTAATATTATATATTTTACTAATATAAACTCTAATACTACATAACTAAAACTAGTTTAAGTTAATAAATAATATACTAACTTCTCATCCTACACAACATAGATATACATATGCACTATATATATAAACATATATAATATAAGTTTAAAATGTCAATATCTCTAAGTAACTTTATAAATATATATATTAAATATAAATAGTACTCTAGTTTAATTATCATATCGATCTCAATCCCAATAATTTGAAATAATTAATTTGATATATAAAAATTTAATCTAAATATCATTTCAGTTCAATAATAATGCACATCCTAATCTCAATATCAATTTCTTAGATTGAGCTAATTTGAAATAAATAACAAATTTGTAACCATAGAAATTCAATATCAATATCACTCTACTTCAATAACCATAGATATTTAGACCTCAATCTCAATATCAATCTCAACCTTAATCTCAAACTTAATAATCCAAAATCCCTAATTTTGTATATACAAATTTACTAAAAAAAACTCTTCAACTAATGTATAAATTTCAATCTCAAAAACTTGAAAAAAATAACTGCAGTCCACTGACAATTCATGCAATAGTAGCAATAATTTACACTAATCTACAAATGAGATAGTATAATTTTGTATAAAAAAACCACAAAAATTCCAATTACCTTTGGCAATGGGGGCGATGATGCTGTGGAGGCATTGAAGGCGATAAAAGCTGGATTTTGATCTATGAAAAATGAAAACTGGGGTCTTGTAAAACCAAATCCAAGGAAAAAACAAGGAAAACCAACAACAATGAAAACAAAAAAGAAAAAACAAAAAAAAAAAAAAGAAAAGAAAAAAAGAAACTAACAGTCACGGTGTTGCAACTTGCAGGGAACCTCCTCCAGCTAGCATGGTGGCTTAGAGGCGATGGAGGTTGGACCAAAAGGCATAGACCAAAAGGCACGGATCTACAAAGAAAAATGCAAATGCCAATTGTAAATCCAAGGAAAAAAAAAGAATTGACCAGGAGAGGGGCCAAATCATTGTCACTGACGCGGAGATTCCAACAACAGGGGGCGTGGTGACAAGAATAGTCACAACAAACCTCGTTGGAGAAGAAACCAAATCTGCTGTCGTAGAGGCAAAAGAAGAAATGGGGAAGAAAGGGGAATTGGGGGGATATGAATGAGTATATTCGACAGTCATGGTTGTTGATTAAACATATTCGACAGACGATTTTCTATTGATATGTGTACATATTTGACAACTTTTTTGTTGAATATGTACATGGTCGAATAAGCACCAAAAAATCCATTATAATCGACAATAGATCATATTTGACAACCATGCTGTCGATTATATGGATATAATCGACAACCACTTGGTTGTTGAATATGTTCTTGTTGCTTATGCTCCGTTTTCCAGTAATGAGGGAAGATGAAATAAAAAATTTTACAATAAGAAAATTTGAATAAATTAATAAAAAATTAAATTCTATTAAGATTGGATTATAATATTTAATATGTATTAGATATATTAGATTTAAACTACACTTTATTATGTATACTTTTAAAAAAGTTTATTAGGTATTTATTGAGGACTTTTTTAAAGTTTATTCAGTATTCACTACTAAAATTTTGGCTTTTAGCAATAATATATCAGCAACATGGGATTGTTTGTTGTTGAAAATATGTATCAACAACAAGCCCTATGTTGTTGAAAGTCCTCAAGTACACTTCACCTTGAAAAAGCTGCCCCATTTTTAGCAATATACTTCTTGTTGCACTTTCAGCAACATACTTCATCTTGCTGATATTTTCCGGTGAATCCTTAGGGAGTTAATTGAGCTCTTCTTTTCAGCAACATGTTCTTTGTTGCTGAAAGTCACTTTCAACAACAAGAACTATGTTGCTGAAAACCTTAAGTATTAGCAACATATACTTTGTTGCTGTTATTCTTATCTTTATACCAACCAACATCAGCAACAAGGAACATGTTACTGATATTTTTTGACCGATCGTTGACCAAAGTTATAATATCTATATACACATAAGCTCCAGCCACCATGGGAAGTATCACCACTTCCACTTTCAGCAACAAGGGGTATGTTGTTCGAAGTGAATTTCAGCAACATACTCCTTGTTGCTAACATTTTTCGGTCACCACACACCAACTGTTTTCCACCTAAAATGAGGTCCACTTTCAACAACATGCTCCTTGTTGTTGAAAGTGGACATACTCCTTGTTGTTGAAAGTTTAGGAGCACCTATACCCTAAAAAAGTGAGATTAACTTTCAGCCAAGAGTCGATTCTTTTGATGGAGAGTCGACTTTGTTTGCACTAAAATGTTTCCCTACTTTCTAGAATTTAGGAGTCGACTTTTGGCTTTTTAGAGTTGACTCTGGAACTCACAAGAGTCAAAATT